TTTATGTATTTAGTAATAAAAAGTACTCAACATTATTACTAATGGGATTATTTATTTCAAATACAAAAAGTTTAATGTTCATAATTGCATAACCTAATTACTAAGCAACTCAAAAAATTATTTTTATGTTTCTGAAATAAATAAACACATTTGTATAAATTTTTAAGGATACTTTATTCATTTTAAATGTATAAACCTGACAACTCGGTATTTAAATAAATAAGCTATATAGGGCGGAAACAATGAATCGGATTAATTGTGATCAATCGATTATTGAAATATTGAAATAATCGTCAACATATATAGTAATTATAGTAAAATTGTAAAAAAAACAAAACAAAAACAAATGTGTAAACATTTTGCATTTAAGATAAGAGACTTTTTGCTCTGTCAATATGCTCAATCCTGAACTCCTCCAGTGAAAAAGTTTTAGTTTCACCTGCTTTCATTTAGTATAAGCTGTTCTTTAAGGAACCTTTGGTTATCTGGTTATTAATCGATTAATCTAAAAAATAATCAACAGATTAATCTATTTGCAAAACAATCACTGGTTACAGCCTTAAAGCTATATTAACCTAATGAATATGTATAATGTAAGGCAGGGGTCACCAACCTTTTTAAGGCTGAGGGCTACTTCATGGCTACCGAGTCATAGGAAGGGCTACCAATACTGACCTATGAACTGGAGGGATCAGTGTTCACCTACAGTAAATCTCAGCCATAAAAACTCATTTTTATTCTTATTTTATTCTTTTATTTCTTTTTAATATTGTCATTTTGAAACCACTGAAATATGATGAAATAGTTAACATGATGAAATAATACATAAATGATTAAAAAGAAGAGCAACAGAATAAAAAAAATTAAACTTAACCTACTGAGTGAGTTCTTCTGAGTCATTGAGGGCCCCTTGGTGCCCGCGGGCACCGCGTTGGTGACCCCTGATGTAAGGTTTCATTAATATGTTTGTGTTAAAATCATCTAAATAAACACAGTAAATGGGAATTTGTTACATAAGTCTTAAAATTTGGGTGAAATAGTTTTGTGAGTGTGAATACGTGTATTTTTCCCATGTCCTCTTACCATACAGAACAAGCAGTTAGTTGAGTCCTCGTGCTGGCCTGAAGAAAATCTTAAATTTCAACCCTAACATTAATAAATTAAAAATTTTCAGGCACCTGTTTGGTAGCAGTAACATTGCTCACTTTAACTAATTATTCATCAGAAAACCATATCTCGTTGTGTTGCCGGGACAAAACAGGATTTCATTAGGTCAGTTTTTGATCCATGTTGGGAAGGCGGTATAACTAAGAAGATCGTTTTTAACATAGAGCTTAAAATATTTCTTTGCACAATCTAAAGGGAAGCTGTAGGGTAACATTTTATAACATCTTAAGTTAACAGCAGTCTAACAATGATGGGATGAAACCCTTTCTTTGTTCAACCATGTGGACACATCAGATTCAACACAGGATATCTAAATTAAGATAAATTACTTTTATGACAGATTTTTGAAAGCATCACCTCTCTTGCAACAATGCCTTTCCCCACCAGTCAAAGTAGAGCAAATAGTGTGATATAATATGACATTGCCTGCCTCTGTTACACACACTCCCAGTCAGAGCCTGTCTGTGGTGCATAAAATTAGTGCAGCCTTCACACTGCCTGTGCTTTAATAAGAAGAGCACATGGCACCTGTTCCAGAACCACACGCTATTTTAGGAACTTCTTAATATGGGCACGTTATTTATTTATTATTTTCTTTCTAATCCATGCTCATTGATGTCAGGGTCATTGAAAACAGAGTATTTCATCTATTTATACTCAGATAAAAAGGATACTGTAAGAAACTCGGCTCATTTTTTCAAAGGCAATGCATGTTGAAAAGGAATATTTAAAAATTACTGAAGATTTGAAGAATCTGTTACTAGTTTTTGTAGAACAAAATCATCAGTTAGTGATTTATATGTTCTCCCCAGCATGGAAATATCTGTTTGTTGTCAACAACTGACGTAGCCACTTCTCACTGCATTGACCAGCTTCTCATATTCAACAAACTTGGCCAACACAACATGCACTGGAAAACACATTAGTATGTTAAAGGACATCCATCCAACAAATGGGTTTCCTCTTTATTTTATGTTAAACATTCACTAAGAGAAAGGGTTTCAGGCAAATCAGGTCTTACCAGGACAAAGGTCCGGAAGGGAAAAGGGAAAGAGTGCCTGAAGGGTTTCGGACAGGCGGGCACCACTGACACAACAGCTGTGATAAGACCACCTTAAAATAAACCAGGGAAGAGCAGCTCACTCTGAGCAGAGAGAGGGAGGACGAAGAACACTCATGAAGCAGGTCTCAGTCTAAAAGACCTCAGTCATAGACCCATTATTGCACTTCCTGAAATGATATATCTAATTTACTGCTATGCTTATTGTAAAATGTACTGCTGAAATTAGCAAATGTTTTCTGATTGCATTGCTAGAGAGGCAGAGTAAAATAACAATCATTATGTTTGATTGGTTAGAAGCTGGTGAAGATTCTCAGTCATCCAGGTAAGAGTCATTCCAAAGGAGAAAAAAACCCACAATCCACTGGATATTTTGCTTCCGATCTTTTTCAATTCAAAGTGTGAGAATTAGCGTTGAGGTCCAAACTTTATGGAGTGGCTAAAACAAAGCCTTGTTTTGGCTGAGAAAATATGCAAATTGAACAAAGATATATTTTGCTAATAGCTGAGCTAACTGCTACATGTGTTGGTTCAGCAAAGAAAATAAATATTCAACTTGTAGCCTACACTTTTTTTATATTTACATACTATAGTATTTTAAGATTCAAACCACCTTGTCCACAAATCAGAAACATTTTTTTAATATATATATTTATATATATATGTATATATATATAAGGTTCCAAGTTCGATTCTCGGTCTTTCTGCATAGAGTTTGCATGTTCTCCCTGTTCATGCGTTGGTTCTCTCCAGGTACTCCTGCTTCCTCCCATAGCCCAAAATTGAATTGGCCTGTGGTTAATTGGCTTCTCTAAATTCTCCTTAGGTGTGAGTGTGTGCATAAATGGTTGTTTGTTCTTTTTGTGTTGCCCTGGTGACCTGTTCAGGGTGTACCCCGCCTTTCACCCATAGATTGCTGGAGGTAGGCACCGGCCCCACAGTTACCCTAAGGAGGAGTGAGCGTGAGAAGATGGATGGATGGATGGAAAAAAATGTATGTTAATTGTTTTGTTTTGCTTTTTGATGGGTCCAAACTATATACGTTTTTGCTTCTGGTTATGATGCCAAAATCAAGACGAAAGGATTCTGCACCAATAGGAAGAAGGCTAAAGCCAAGCGAGACAGAACTCAGGCTTTGCCAGATGCCGTTAGCTCTATGATCAGACTGATGAATGGATTCTTTAAAAGGGTTGCTCAGTGGGGTGGGTAGCAGTGGGTTCGATTCCTGGCTTTCATGTTCTCCCTGAGCATGTGTGGGTTCTCTCTGGGTACTCCAGCTTCCTCCCACAGTCCAAAAACATGACTGTTAGTTTAATTGGCTTCTCTAAATTCTCCTTAGGTGTGCGCGTGAATGGTTGTTAGTCTCTGTGTTGCCTTGTGATGGACTGGTGACCTGTCCAGGGTGGACCCCGCCTCTCGCCCATTGACTGCTGGAGATAGAAACCAGCACCTCTTGCGACTGCACTCGGGACAAGTGTGTCAGATAATGGATGGATGGATGGATTCTTTAAAAAGAAGCAAAACAAGGGTAAATATGGAGCGTTGGTGCCGACTTAAAAAGTAGCTTGGAAGCCACAGCAGGAGTTCTTAATGTTTAGTTTAGTTAGCATCAGCGTTATACAGAAGGAGAGCAGGCAAGCTCAAGCACGCCGCTTACTGGCTGGGAGGATTTAAACTTTTAGCTAAGCGATCATCTAATATTAAGGATTTTAAATCAGCAAATTATATATTTATGACTTAGAAAGTCAAAAGTCACAGTTTTATTTCAAATTTCCTTTTTCTAAAATACTTTTAAGAATATATCACACCAATAATGTTGTTTCGTCTCTTGATAATACAATGTTAAAACTGCCATTATATATCATAATCATAACTTGATATCTGATTATTTATTATTTTTAAAACCCATAACTATGACCATGTGCTGTTTTTCTCCCAGTTGGCAAAAATGCTTCAATAAAGTCCAGAACAGAGGCGGTAATGCAGCTCTGCTCAAACCCATATCCTGAATCTAAACCCACAAGGTTATCACTATTTTTGGAAGCATTCATTTCTGCACATATGGACTGCAGTAGCACATTTTCAGCAGTAGATGTCAGTGTTTAGAGTTTATCGTGTATTATGCATTAGATTTTTTTGTTACCACTTCAATCTTTCTATTATTAAATTTGAGTAATTCCCAGTGAAAACACTTCCTAATTGGCTTTTATTTAACTCCAACCTGAGGTAGAATGGTAGCTACAGTTGCGGTTCATAATAGTGAAAATAAATAAGCCATTACACAGAGCATTGAATAAATGGATGTCCTTTTAAAACATTTTTGAATTTAATTTGAAAAAGTAGAGCACCAAACAATAAATTCCTCATAGCACAAAAGAGGCACTCCGTCCAGACTAACCAGTTTTTGATGCGTAGAGCTAAACAACAGATTGGCTACTGAGGTTTCCCCCTCAAAGGAAATGACCCCCCGCTAAAAAAAAAAAAAAAGATCTCAGCTTAGAGGTTAAATCATCAATCATATGACTTCTATATGTTTTACAGGGAATTGCCGTTGACATGAGAGGCACAATGCAGTTCAGTGAATATGAATACACAACAGAATCTGAATACATACTGTATGCCAAAGCAAAGTCCTTCACATTTTAAAGCATTTCCAGGCACCGCCACAACAAATAAAAATCATCTCATGAAGGAAAACAAATTTAAAGCAGTGCACCTTTAAATTTTTTTTATGTAAACATGACTGAAAAAGTTTGCTTTTAATCTGAAATGTTTTAAACCCAGTCTCAAACCGACAGCCGCCTCGAGATGTTAATGCTTTTTTAAAAAGATTAAACGCTGTGCTATTTTTCATCTTTCTCCCTTGTGAAACCTCTGTGGATGTTTTACCTCTGAACGAGGTAGAGATCCACATAAAAAGTTTTTAGAGTACAACACTGCAAAAATAGTTTAAACCATAAAAATACACATATATACAAAGAAGTAGTAATGCTTTAGAGTGAGTGGCTACTTGCAAAGTTGATGTGAAGAGCTAATAATTGTTGTTAACACTGTTTCTTTAATATTACCTGCAGTAGATGGTGTGGATTTATTCAGAGTTTGACATGAAAATGCAAAACAGTTCAACATCGACTGATCACCATAGCCCCTCGGGTGTTGTGTGCAAATCCACTTCGCACGATGAGATGCGGAAAAAAAAAAACAAGAGGAATGTTTCAACAACCACAAGGAAAAGGGACATTTTTCCTCTCTCTCCCCTACCCCACCGGACTCATCAGCCTCATCGTCGAACAGAAAAGGAGGAAAGTGCATCTTTAAAACACGTGAAAACACCCATGAACATCTGCATAAGCAAGAAAACAAGCCTAACCAAAGCAACATTATGAGATCAAAAGCAACGCCGGAGTGGCTCACTGCATAACTGCTGCATAAATACAGATATACCATATAAATAGTAGTCAAATGTTTACCAGTATCAATAAGTGCTTACGTTCTAATATATAAATACATCTTACATTATTCATAATTACATAATTAATTCCTCTATGGTTGTGCAATAGCAAATCCCATGCATTTTTTTTTACCAAGATAAAAACCACAACATTAAGAAAAATGCAACATAAGTAACATTTGTTTAAGATTGCTTCACATAAATCCATCTTTAAAAAAAGAAAAACCCACAAGGCCTTCCCAGAAAGTGCAGCCTCCTTTTAGTAAGAGTCCTTATAGATGTTACCCTTACTCAGTTAGAAAGAAAAGCAAAACAAAAAGGCACATACCCTTGCTGCTTGATCAGAAGCACCAAACTGCACAAGAAGCGTCTACTTAAAATTTGGTCGGACTGTTTCATAGTACACACACGTTTCCCCTTATAAAAGTCTTTAGTTACAGCACTACTGCATCACACCTTGATATGGTTAACAGAAACAACAGTCTATTTTCAAAGTACACACTGCAAAATACACTGCTTGTATGCATCTAAGTTATAATATATGTTAAGGACATTTGTACAGGACCCATAAATGCAATTGTTGTGCAATTGTGCGCAAACTATGATCTCAGACAAAAAGGCATATCAGCTTTATAATATTTTTTCATATTGCAACTGCACCCAATAATGATTTTTCACCCTTTTGCAAAACAACCCGTACAGAATCTCTGTGGAGTTTGACCATGCAAGACCAGTGGAAACGTCATTATATTGCCTCTAGTAGGATAAAGACAAGGTGGTTAAAGGGTTAACGATGGTTGCAGGTGTGGTGAGGGCTGGGAACAACAAAGCAGTTTCAATGAGGATCTTCTATGGTAATTTTCAATGAGGCAATGGCTTTCAAACAGGTCTGGACGTTCTCCTCTTGTCTGCTTTCCCCGGCGGGCGGCTCAGGACTCTTCTCATCTGTCTCTATTCCCGTCTCAAGCCCGTGCACAGATCCCTCCCTGCTGCTGCAGCGCTGCCCTTCGCTGCTCTGGGGACTTGGAGCGTCATTGCTGGGTGAAGTTGGGGAGTCCAACATCTGGAGGCCCCCGACAGGAACAACGGGGAGCAGAGAGCGGGCCTGCTGCTGGGAGTGAAGCGGGAGATGGCTGAGGATGTTCTGGTGATGAGAACTGGCAGCTCCTGGGTGAACAGGAGCCAAGCTGCTCCTTTGATCCTGGAAGAACATTCGTGGCAGGGTTAGCAACATTTCCATCACCAGTATATGAACATGTCTCAGTAGATAGCCATAAAGGAATATTGTTCACAAAGAAGTGCTTTTGCAAATGAACCTCTAATAGTGGATTATCTGGGCTTCTTTTGGACCAGGACTGAAATGTTGCCACAACATAATGAGAGGCCAAAGTAGTGAAGTTTATTTATACAGTTTATCCAATTTTGTTCAAACACTTTCGGAGGAATTTAGAAAAGGTTACGCAATAGTCTACAATGGCATTCCCACTGCCTTTATGTAGTGTAGATATTCTCACATTGCAGCTACAAGCATCCATTAAGATAGACCAATAAAAATCTGTTCTGCTTTGATTTGATTCCAAAGTAGAGCAGAACTTTAAGTGTTGTTTTTATTTCTTTTTTT